GTCCCAAGGGTCCCAAGATTGGGCTTTGTTCCCACCCTCCGGCAGTGACATTTGGGCCTCCGCAGGCGAGGCGGGGGTGGGACCAACTCCAGCGACCCTGATGGACAAATCACTCTTGGCTCTTCCTGTCAGCTGCCCTCCCCCCTGAGGTGCTCCTTCCTGCCTGACAGTGGAGGAGGAGGTGATCTGCCAGGCAGGGCGGGGGTGGCAGGGACTGAAGAAAGCCCCTCCAGTGGCAGACACGGCTGATGCCATTCTCCTCCACTTCCCCCTGGCTCCAAAACAGCAGAGGGGGACCGGATAAGGGAACCAAGTAAAAGTGAAAGGGAAGAGGTGGATGGGCAGCTGGGTTATTGAACGGGTGGGAGGAGATTGCCAAGCGGGGAGTGCCTGGCAGGGGGGCTGAGGTGCATGGGTACCGGGTGCGTGGGACAGCTCCACGCCCCTGCCTCGCTTCACCTCATGGCAGTGCCACATGGCTTCCTGCCCTGTTGCAGCCTCAAGTAATGGGACAGAGTGGGTAGGGTTCTTAATTAGGACTTATTTTGGGGGTAGGGCTTATATTAGGCACATGCATAAAAATCAGGCTACGGCTTATTTTCAGAGAAACCACAGTACTTATAATGTAGTTTTATTTCTGTCATGGATTCCATCATGTAAGAGAAAATCTTAGGTGTCTGCTTGTGCTCTCATTCAGGATTTCTCCTTTTATAGCCATTCATCCTCCAAATGCTTTTGATGGACATTGCAGTCTGAACAGCAAGAGATTGGGAGAGCAGTTCTACATATTTCCTTGCAGGTTGCTTGTGTTTCATTTATTTCATCTTTGCTGCAAAGGTTGGGAAAGAAATTTCACCATGGATGATGTTTCCTGACCTTCTCCAAGCATTTTGAATAATTAAATGATTAGGCTTTCAACAAGAAAAAAAGCAAAGCTTGTCATGTTGTCGGTGTGTATACCCTTGCTCCTTCTTGAAGCTCTGTTGTGTGTGGGGGGGGGCACGCATGCACATGCACACGTCTGTGTGTGTGTTCGCTTTAATTTCCATAAAACCCAAAACTTTATCAGAAAATCTAATAGCCAAGCCAAGACTACAGCTGTCTATGGAATACCAAAAACACAGGCCTAAAATTATGAGAACACTGCTCGCATCGATCACAGTATGACAATGAGAGCAGGAGCTTGTATTCATTCAAGTATTCTGCTAGAGTCACAGGCCCCTGACAAGCAAGGACATATTCTAAAAATAGTGATGAATCTTAAAGCAGTAACATGGAACTTGCTAACTTATTTCCAAATGTTTCAGCAAGCTCCTCTTCTAAAACACTTCAGAAGAGCCCTTGGCACATGAGGCCATTAAATATATCAAGACAGCACTCTAGTTTACCCTTCCCTATTTTAGCAAAGATAATACATCGATGTAGATGTTGTTGTTGATGTAGAAATAGATATAAATAAATATACTGTAGATACTGTACAGATATAGAACCATACACTTATCCATATCTATCTGTTCCAAGGTTCAGAGAAGAACAAAGCTCCCGCTGGCATCTGAAATTATCTGCAATCTATAGGGGGTGATTGAGACAAAATGTCTCACTTTGTGTTCTATATTTTTGCTACTCTGTTTATCTCAGCACTGGGGTCAGTTTTCACAAAACAAATAAGCTAATGGATTGGTTTCTTAGGTGGGCTAGAGATTGCTGCTTCAACTAACTGTAATAGGGCATCATGTCCAGACCAATCAGTTGCTGATAACACTGTCGGCATCATTTTGTGATGCCGTGTGAGGTGAATGAAAAGCTTGACCTGTGGAAGGCCTCAGAGAAGTGAAAAGGATTTGCCCATTTGCTGTTACCCAAACCCACATTTTTCTTAACCACTCCCGTGTTTGGTGTTTGCTTTAAAAAAGAGCCAACTATTTGATACTTAATCAAAACAACAAGGAACAGTCTTCAGTTATACTGTTGTCTTTGTGTGTGTGTGTGTATGTGTATGTGTGTGTACTGTGGGTCCCTTTTTCCCTTGTTGGAAACTCCTCTGATTATAAATGCAGTTTCCTTTCATTTGACATGGGAAACAAATGAAAGCTCTAAAACAGATCTCACATTTAATAGAAAACTATGCCAAAACTTTGCTCTGGATGCATATGTGCTCTAATTCTGCCCATTCTACAGCATTTAACTCCTCTCCAGAAGCCACCAATTTCTGATTACAAACAATGAAAGTAATCCAGAAAAGTATAGCTCTTGCTTTCTTTCTTCTCTCTGCATATTGTCTATCTAGACCAGACATGTCAAACACAAGGCCCGGGGGCCGGATGCGGCCCGCGAAGTGGTTTCATGTGGCTCGCGAACCCATCCTGGAAACAGTGAGGGAATGGCCCCCACTGCCTTGGCCCTGGCCCAGGCCGGCCAGGAGCCAATGTACAATTTTGTGGTGGCCATCTATGCTGAAATGCATTCAGTCTTAGCTCCACAAGGCCGTCTGGAAACAGCGAGGAACCAGCCCCTGCCGTGTCGGCCCCACCCCCTGGGTGCATGCTGCGGAGGTGTCACCCTTTATGAGGAATGAAGAAATGGAAGTGGCCAGCAAATGGCCCTCGCCTACTTCACATATCCGGCTTGATGGGCTCTACCCTGGTCCCACCCCTTTCTGCCAGAGACCCTCAGATCTGTCCCACTCCTGCCTAGGCCCCCACAGGCACACTAGACGTGAATGATGTAGAGCTGGCCACGCCCACCCAATAGGCCACACCCACTCCATCCACGCCCACCCAGTAGGCCACACCCACCCGGCCCCCTGAGGGCAACCGCAATGCTGATGCGGCCCTCAATGAAATTGAGTTTGACACCCCTGATCTAGACAGATACAGGGATTGAACTGGTGCCCTATAAACATATGGCTCTTGTCCTGCTTTTATCTTATTTATTTTTATTTATCAAACACTGTTTTATTAATTTAATACCATAGCATACAGTAGGCATATTCAAAAAGCCTTTTCAAAGATTGGGGGAACCAAAGATACAGCATGCTGTCTTGCTCTGTACATTGAATGTTACTTTGGTGAGCTGGTTAATAACTAAATATAATGCCTATAAATAATGCTTGGAAACTTCTCCTCCTGCTTTGAACATGCAATGTTCCGAGTCGTGCCGTTGCGGCCTCTGACCCGACGTAGATCTCAATTGGCACCTTGGTTTACCGAGGAGCTGAGAGAGATGAAACGCCGGAAAAGACGCCTAGAGAGCAGTTGGAGGACTACCCGAACCGAACCCGACCGAACACAGGTAAGGACACATGTCAGATCCTACCTTGTGGCAATGAGGGTGGCGAGGTCTAAC